TCCAAATTTTTACCGTCGATGGGATTTGAACACCCAACCTACCACTTGGAGGGTTGACAACCTGACCACTTCACTAGATCGCCACACCCCCACTAAATTTTTTAATTTTATAAGAAAGAGAATTAAATTATTATAAAAATTCAAATTAATTTTTTAATTATTTTTTTATTTCTAATATTATTAAACAAAAATACAATAAAACTTTATCTATTTTTAAAATATAATTTATTTTTAAAATATTTTTCTAATTTAATATCAAGAATTTTATTAGATAAAAAATTTAATTTAAAATTTAAACTATTCAATTTATATTTATTTTTTAATTTTTTTTTTGTTTTTAGTTTTAAGAATGATTTTGCCTGTGTGTTTTTTATTATTAGCAATATAAGATTACATATTATATACAGAATATATTAATGAAAGTACAACTAGTCACATGTATAACTTTAGTCATTATTTAATTAAGAGTTCCACTCATAGGTTATCTACTAGATACCATACCTGAGACCTGCCTATAAGTTCCTTATTTAAACTTTCTGATTTTCAATACTTATTGTATATATATATAATATATATTACTAAGTATCATGACAGAACAGATTAGGACTATCTAATTACTATTTATATCTAAGTATTATCTCATTGGATATTACTAAGTATCTATAGTCCTTTGAATTTATCTTTGACACAAACTTACTAAGTATAATACCAAGATTACCTCTTATATTTATCAAATTTTAGTAGATCTATATCTACTAAAATTGGTTTGATATCAGAAGTGTTTAAATTTTAGTAAGTTTATTTTTTTTCTATAGTTTTCTTTTATGTTTATTATATTACTTGCTAGTGCACTTTTTCTTTATTTCTGATATGTTTACTGCTTCTCTCATATCGAGCACTAACTCTCTATATTGAAAAACTTTTTTTCAAAAACTTCTTTATATATCAATTTTCTAATCATATAGACTTAGTCACAAAACTTTGTGTATATTCATATGCTTCTGTAGATTACAGAGTTTTGTCTTTAGCTAAAATTGAACCATTGATCTTGTCTGTAGAGAGAAGGGCACCTAGACCACTAAGCTACAGAACCCATTCCTATATTTATTTTTTAGTATTTTATATATTTGAGTTTTATTAACAATAAGTATATAAATAGTTGTACTTTGTATAAAAAAACATAAACTAGTACTAGGTGGTAAGAACCTATAATAAGTCCCTGTAGCTATATAAATTATAAGAACCAAAAAGATAAAAACTTACTTGAAAAACTTAATTAGAAATATAATTCAAACTTTTAACAATATTACTATAAAGACTAAACCTAGAAAATAAAACTAAAATTTGTAAAACTAAATAATATACTAGTTTTTGAAAAGGAATTATTATAACTAATTATATTGCTAAAACTTTTTGAAAAAAAAATTATATACTAAAAAATATATAAATTAGAAGTATAGTATACTTATTTTTTTGAGCTATCTGGACTAGAAGCTTGATAAAACTTAAATTGAATATTAAAGTAATAAAGATATATTATAAAAAAGTACTAAAATTGTAATAAATTTTACAAGAACATAGTAGTTTAATAATAAGTTCTAACTGCAAGTGTTGGTTTTAGTTATAATATAACTGAATCAATCATAACAATAGAATACAAAAAATTCTAAAAGATTTAGTACAAAATTAAAAATTCTATATATGAGTAAACTGCCTTAAAACCTTAGTAATCATGATATATTTTTACTAGTATTAACTAAGATTATTAATAGATATAGATAGGTAAGTAGATATAAAAACTAAAGTATTTAAATAAGAAATTTATAAGTAGATTTTAGATATAACAGCTAGTATAGAACCTTTAAATAAACTATTTAAATTAAATAATAACTAAAGTTGTATAAGTAACTAGTTGTACACTCTTTTTATGATTGCTTTTGTAACTATTAGCTAAATGTACTATTAATAAAATTCCGAATTACAAATACTTATTTTAATATTTAAAAAAAAATAAGTATATATAAAACAAAACTAAAAATTTTGTTTACTTTAGAATCAGAATTTTTAATCTACTTTTAATACTAACTTAATTTAAATAATTATTAAAAAAAATAAATTTTTAATATATTTTTATTATATTTATAATTTTTTTAAGCTTTATAAATTTTATATATAAAAAAAAAATAATTTTAATAAGTGATTGAATTGTTATTCTCTAAATAATAGATTTAGTATTCAATTTTTATCAGTAATAAAATTTTAAAATATAATTTTATTTTAACAAACTTATCTGTAATCTGAGATTTTTAAATTTGTAATTTTAATTATATCAAGACTAATTTTAAAAATATATAATATTATATAAATAAATCTAAAAAGTATATACTCAGATAAAAAAATTGGTTAGAAATTTTAAATAGAAAAATAATATAACTTTTGATAATATTATTTATGATCTAAAGAAAAAAACCTAAAACAAATAACCTATACAGTTAAGAATCTTTAAATAGAAGATTCACCAACCTGATTACTAATTAATTTGAATATAAAATTATATTATACAAACCTAACTAAATTGGTAATATAAAAAAACTTATAAAAATAGATAAAATACTAATGAAATTGTAAAAAAAAAGTATTAAGATTGTATAAACTTTGTAAAAGTTAGAAACTAAATTAACTGTAAATTAAAATATAGATAACTCTAGTAATAATATCTTGAAGATAAACTATATAAAACATAATAAATATTTTAAAGGTATAATAAATATCTAGACCTTCTTGACTAACATTAATATTGAAGATAATTTAGTAATACAGTAAAGATTGCAGTACAGAAGATTTAAATAAACAATATCTGTAGTTGAATTGCAGATATGACAGCTAGTATAAAACCTATATATAGATGAATTACTTAAATTAGACACCAAAAATGTATATGTGGTTAGATGTACTCTTTAATGTAAGGTAGCTTTTATAAGATATTTAATAATGAGCTTCTATATCCTACTATACTGAATATAAAAACTCTAATTCTAAAAAAAAACTAGTTTAAAAAAAAATAAAAAATAAAAAATTTTGATGTAAAAATTTTATCTTAGAATTATTTAGAGTTAGAATTAAGGTTTGAAAAAGATTTTAAGAGCATAAAACATTTTTACTTAAAACTTCTCATATCAATTGATCAGTTTTTAAAATAATATATTTATAGATATAAAAACACCATAGAGACAAATATTGAAAAAAAATGTTGAGCAAAGATATCTCGACAACCACCTGTTTAAAATTTTTTTATTACGACTCCGAATGTATAATTAAACAAAGAAGAAAAAAATATCAATTTTGAATAGATAGTCATTAAGATATCCTCGCTCAAAGTTTAGAAAAAACATATAAATATCAAAACAAGTCGTAGCAAAGTTTTCTTTCAAACCTTGAGCGAAGATATTTCAACAACAATCTATCTAGTTAAAATACAAAATTTTCAAATTTTCGTCAATCTTAAATAGCTAGTTGTTGAAATATCTTCAAAGTTTGGTATTTAGATTATTAATTTCGTCTGATCAGAATGTGACTGTTCGATAATTTTCGTCATCATGGTTAGAATACTTATTTTAGATGTGAAAAGCTTTTATTTTTATAATTATTTTCACTTATCGTATACATTTCCGATTAACTATTAGATCTAACATATCAATTATTTAACAGTCTTGTTTAGTCGCTAAATCATTTCTATGTACTTAGTTCGAAAATGAAAACGACGTTTTAATAATTTATATAGCATTGATTTTATAAATTGACCGGTTTTTGAGTTGATACTATTAACCGAAAATGGGATATATATTTGAATTTTGATTGTTATCCCAAATAAAGTAGAAGCCCCGATTCCCAAACCCAAACTACGTAATATGTCACCATTCAAAAAAGATTAGAGTTGCAACCTTAATACCCAGTAGCACCCGGAGCATTCACATCCTTTTTCAAACCGAGAAGTAACTCTTTGAAACGGCCAACATCCTTAACGTGTTTAGTAGACGTTTTGCTCTGGACATTTGAAATATCAACTTGCTTGCAAATACGTTCCCAAGTCGTACCCGAAGTGAGATCGTCTCGCTCACGCAGGAACGCTTCCTCTTCTTGTCTTTATAATTTAAGTATTAGACGTAAGAAACAATGATCTAATCATTATTAATAAGGATTACTATGAATTAAAATATTACTTGTTAAGTGCATGTGCTCGTGCCTTCTTTTCGTTATATTCCTCATAAAACCTGTCAATTGCGTCCCGTGCAATAGCGATCGTTTCCCGTCTTTTCACCTCAGACTCTTCATCACGCTTTGCAATAATCTCTCTCTGTCGTTCCTTCCATTGCCTATGATTCAATTAGAACATAGATCATTCAGAAGGTAATAATTATAGACGTGAATTTGATCATAATAACCTCATGTCTTTTGTTCTTAGCTACCGAATAATTTCAGGCTCTTCTTCATAAGATTGATAGCTCTCCGTTGAAACCAATCCGTTGGTACCAGTATATAAAGCCTTTTTAATAATAAGAAATATTAATTAATTTAAAAGTAAACAGTAATAAAATTAGTTCATTAAAGTCCTTAATTAACTTTCAAATACACACCTGAGTATTGTTAATTTCTACTTGTGGAAACTCGGAATGAAAAGCAGAATAATCGGGTAAGGCACTGGAAGCAGATCCGACACCAGGTACAGTACTAATTGTTTGACTGAAAACGTTACTGTTCGTTGATGGTGAGGAAAGATCTGGAAAAGCATCAAGCTCGTTCGAAGTGGAAACTGAATTGTTAGCATTAAATATTGCAGCATCGTCTCCAAGAACAGCTTGTTCCCTTGCCAGAAAATTTGCGGTGGGATCAGAATCCAGAAGCGTATTTGAGGATGTGGAATAATCTTCGATTGGCGGAAAATCAGTGTTAAAGTCTGCCATTGCGAAAATTTACTTATACCTAAACGCGAAAGATATGGCTTAGAAGTTAGAAGTCATAAGAAGTAATTCGTCTGATTGGTTAATTTCTATGTATCTACCCGTGATCGCTAGTAATAATTAACCAATCAAATTACTTAATTTAAAAAAAAAAACCTTAATACGAACAGCAGATAGAGAATTAAAACTACGATATAATAAACCAAACCCAAACTTATTATGATTATTTGTGCACCATAAAAAGACGAAAACCAACCTAATAAAAACTATGTAGAACCAGGGCACAAAGTTTCCGAATGCCGGAAGCTGCTTTTTCTCCGGCGGTGTTTATTTTAACCGGAACTTAGAAAACTCAGCCGGATGTAGATATTTATATACATACGTATAGATGATATCATATTCAGAAATTTTCCGGCTGTTGAAAAGTCGGGCCGGAAATTGTTAAAAAAATAGTTTGATCGTGATACGTTACATTAAAGGTAATTTGCTATTGGCCAATTTTGTGTCGATCATCATGTGGAATGATTTTAATTGGCAAATTTAATATCTTTTATTTATGGTTTATGTAATTTCCAATCAGATCGTAAGATCAGGTGTAACGTGAAATCGAAAGAAAATACCGATTTTTCTAAAAATTGCTTGTAGTTCAAAATTTTGCTTATGAAACCACTTTTCGTGTTCTAATAAAAAAAATTCCTTGCAAAATTTTAATATT